CAACTTTTGATTTTGGTGCAGTAAAGAAAGCTTGGCTGTCACTGCAAGCTACACTTGCCACTTCAATACTGTAGCTGTGAGTACAAATACCACCTAACAGCCTATCAAACAATTCCTAAAACATATAAAAATGTTTATATAAAGACTATACAGGCAAAAAATCTGACTCTTTGTTTTGCTCTTTAGGAATATCTCGCTGGCAATGTTAAGTTCCAGGCCTATGTAAGCATTTTTGCTGAATTATCACTTGAAAGAAAGCCTTCATAATGTGAGTGCTGACAGTGGTAATTAAGGCCTCACAAGCAGATGCTTCCAAAATGCAGCTTGCTGTTTGTGATTTCATTTGTTTTTTTTTAAGCAAAATCCCAAACTATAAGCTTAAGGTATTTCTTTTCAAAAACTAAAACAACTAAAAAYCAAAAATCCACTTGCTTGAAATTAATAATAAATTATTAATAAAGTTGTTTATTTTTACACAGAAGTTATCAGTAAAATTGTTTTGAGGAAACTGCCACTTTTAAAAATGAAAGTTGTTAAAAATAACATTTTTATATATGAATAATACACTACTTAAATGTATTAGCTCTCTATTAAAATCAATCTTTAATAATAATAATAATAATAATAATAGAGAAAGAGCAGATTCTTCTGTAAAGTCTGAAGTATTCTGTTCAATAACCCTCAGACAGATCAGCTTAAATTTCTCTAATATTTCAAACAATTCGGCAGTTTTCTGTTTGAGCTGAAATCAAAATGTGCACTGCTTGGGTTCATCTCTCAAGCAAAAATGCCAGCACAGCCTGCAGATTCTCATTTTTCAGAATAAGCATTAAGCACCATAATTACGATACAGTTAGTTTTTCGGTCAGAAACGYACACATTTTGAATTTCACTTTACACATCATAAATCCACAAGCTGATCCCTACTGGAGGCCTGAATGTGCTGAAAAGCAGAGGTGTTTTAAAACTAAAAGCAGCAGAGCTGCTGCATTTGTATGTCTCAAAATGCATCACAAACAGGAAGCTCACAAAAGAATTTATCATCTGTAAAAGGTGACGGAGAAGTAGGGTTGCCTTGAAACACAACTAAGCGTCGGGTCTCTCTAAAATGTAAACTTACAATCTGCATTACAGGACACAGTAGAAACTAAAAGAGGGCAGAAATCTAACATTTCACGCCTGTAAGTCAGGCTCAGTTGGCCACACATTTTTCCTCACTCTACAGCTGATGCCAGTCAGCAGTTCTTTGCATTAGTTAGATCAATATTACATGCAAATAGAGCCCTTTATTTGGGCTACACTTCTTTCTCAGAATTGATTCTCTCAAGAAAATTTTTAGAAGGTGGTTAAGTGATCAGCAGCAAATCAGTGTGTCCTARAAGCCTAAAGTTGCATCCAGACTAAAATTCAGAATGAAAACACAGTTCAAGAGCCTCATCATGGTGCTATTTTCACACTCCAACAAACAAAAGTACCATTTTTATGGCTGTCCAGATTTATTTAATGGGAAATCTTGTCTGGAATTACTGACATAGAYGAAGTTGTGTTTGCAAAGCCTGCTTGGTAGGAGTCAATGCCATTAAACAGGAAAATAAAAACCGCTGAAAGCAATTCTACAACTAGTTAAGGGAAAATTGAAAAGTTTAAAACATTTAATTTCTTCTCCTTGCTAGCTTTAGAATATCAGCTGTATTCAGGCTTTAAAGTGGAGCAATCAAATCATTACGTCTGCATTTATGTGGTCTGTTTACTACAATAATGCTGGCAAAAGTCTGCCAACTGCAAAAGACCCAAACGTATCAATCATTTCTCCTTTGTTTCAAATTGCAGTCTTCAAAGCATCCAAGTAGTCCTAACACAGCGTTCGGTTTCTGGCAGCACTTTGTAAATGATTTAAGGAAGGTTGTCATAATCTGTTATAACGTGACTTATATTGCATCACTAAACAGATAATTTACATCTTTACCACTAAGCATTGCATTTCTAGGAGTCCCTACCCTTCACTTTAGAGCACATTCTGCTGCACAGGAAACATGATACGATATTGGTCCTAACTGCAGTATTTCTGCATTGATCCTTAATTTTAACTTTTTCCCATATAATATCTACATTCACTCCTTCCTGTGACCTCAAAAAAAGTACATGGATCCAGTCAGAACTACATTTCAAGAGAATTCTCTTGACAGGAAATGAAGCAAGCTATACAAAAAATCAGTGATATAAGAGGACTTTATATTTTAATTTCATTCCTCCCCAGCAGAGTCCAGATTATTTATCAACCTTTCTTTCTCTACTGACCAGCTGGATGCCAAAGTGAAAAGTATTCTCTGTTAAAAATAGTCCTGTACAGAAAGAGGCTGTCTGGCAAAGAAAAGGAGAGAGAAATAACTTTGGGCAGGTGCTTGGATTGTTTCCCTTTGCTCTCAGGAGCTTACCTCAGATGTATGAGGTAGCGTAGGAGCCTTTCTTCAGTCTGTTGAGTATTTTCATTATTGAGAGTTCTCTTGATTTCTCGTCTCACAGGAACGGAGAAAGTTCTTTGCCGTAGGAATGTTTGATGATTAGCTGGCATTTCTCTCAAGTCATAGATCACGACAAACATCTTCACCACAGTTTTGTTAGGGTTAAATAAGGTCTGAAAAGACAAACAGGTTAGAGTACAATGGTCTTTAGAGTTTGCAAATTTCACCTGCCAAAATAGTCAATATTTACAGACTGTCCTATATGCATTTTGTTGCTGTTCCATACAGAAACACTTACATAAAAATACACTAAAGCTTTTCCGTTCAACAGTTTAGCTATTAGCAACTCCCATTTTAAAAAAAGGGACACTAATCATTATTTAATTGAAAATACTGGAATTACTCTTTATTTGTTCACACGGATCCACATTTCAGTTTATTTCTCCAGTCATCTTTTTATCTAGGTTATTTTCTAGATACACATCGGGTGTACAGGAAAAGGCTTGGCTTCACATTTGAACATGCTTTGCTTTTCAACATGAAATTAACAGTTTGCAATTCTGAACTAGATTCTTTAAAGAAGGTGTATTGATTTCAGTAATTACTGTATCTTACTTCGAGATTTGATTATAGAAAAGTAGATGYTTTAAAACGATTTCTAACTGTTATATAAATTAAACAAATCTGAATATTTAAGAAGGAGATTGCCTTTAAAAGAATTTTGGAATTTGGATAGTGACTTAATTCATTACTTCTTCAAAACTATTCTGTCACCAATTCCTAACTTGAATCCTCAGTAATTGATTTTAAACTTCCTCATGGTACAGTTGTGTGTAGATGTCACATGTTTGAAGCTATTTTTGTCTCCCAAATTCAATACAGATTTTTATTTTGAAAAASTAAAATACCACAGAACCTACAGAGATTCACATTTCCAATTCTTCATGCCTCTCTGTAATAAACTAATTTGCTGTGCCTGAATTCCTTGATACATGTGGTTTTCATGCACTCATATCTACCAAGTACCTACCACTTGTATTGTTCCTGAAGGCGGTACCCGATAACCCCTTTTACCAAGGGACTCTAAAGTAATAACACCCTAAAAAAAAAAAAAAGTGAAACTTTAGTTCAAGTCAAGATTTTAAAAAATGAACTCTATTTGTGTAATTATACTTATTCTAAAAAACAACAAACTGATACATTGGCAGATAATTAAAAACTGTGCAGGAAGGGGAACTTTCTCCTCTTGAAATAATATCCAAGTTTCCACATCTTCAGACTCATAGTCTGGCAGACACAGCGAAATAAGGCTTTCTTCTTAAAATGAAACATTTGTACCTTTCTTCCCATTTTCAGACGGCCTTTAATTGGAATATAACCAATTATACTCCAAATCTCGCAGAAGTTAGTTTCTGCTTTTCAAAGGCTGCAGAGGCATTTGAACTTCCATCGTAATTCAACGCCTGGCAATGTTGTAATTTGCTCTTGGACCATCTGTGCTCTATCACCCGACTGTCCCACGTGCCACGGGCTGGGGAACTGCTGAGGCCACCACTAAGGTCCTGCAGCAGAGCACACGCTTGTCACCGCAGCGCACAACTGCTGTCACGCACTGACGTGGACGTGCAAAACACTGCCCCCAAACCCTGAGCACACAAACTAGCTATACAAACAGCAACAATGCTTCTGATGATGGAGGCACTGTATAAATGTTATATTAATCCTATGAGACTTATGGTTATTATGGTTGACATAATAGCATGTTTACAGCATGTGGAGAAGAGTGAAACAATGACATCCAGCTAGTAAAATAAGCAATGCTACTTTAACCATTTGCACAACAGATTACTTCAGGACCTGGAAGATGATGTGAAAAACTGGAAAGATTAAAGCAAAAAAAAAAAAAAAGGTTCTTTTTTACGAAATTAAGCTGTATTCGTCAAGCTTCATTTGCAAAGCCATTTAATTTCATTTTCTAGATGCTTTCAAAAGTAGATGGTCAAAAATATGGCAATGTTTCAGATTCTACATCAGATTCTACATACCAAGAKGACAGGATGGCAACACTCACGTGCATGTTTCAACAGACCACTTACCATATCAGAAACGGACATACATACTAAAAGCTCCCTTAAAATTACATCTGTCACCCACAACATTCCTTAACCAGTATTTAGAACAAGTCTATCTGACTGATTCAATGTTAGCATACAACAAATCTTTTTGTTTCTTGCAAGGTAACACCTAAGGCATTTGAAAAAAGAAAAAAAAGTCATTTCAGAAAAGCAAAACAGAATACATGGATATTAACAACACAAGTACTATGTCACTATAAACATCAGCAAACTGAACAGCTGGTGGGAAGGATTTGTGTCACACTAGCTCAGATGGCACCTGCTTAAAAAGAACGGGCTAAGGAACTTTGGAGTCACAGCTCTCCATCAGTGACTGTACCCTGGCCTGGACCTAAGCCAGCTGTCAGTGAGACCCCGGCATCACTAAGATACAGGCAGTTAAGTGCACCCATTGTCTCACTGCCTATTGTAGGCAAGTTGGACAAAAGGACACAGCAAGGCCTGATCCCTCAGGTGCGGAGGGAGACAAATGCCTCCGCTATCCCAAGATGAGAGCTGGATGGTGGAGCGGGAGAACAGGCGAACGAATACCAGCTTGGGAAAGGGAAGAGAGGAAGGAGGATGAGAAGTCCAACTGAAGACAGCTGAAAATACCCCAAACCCCTCCAAAGCCCCATTTCCTGAACTCCATACTCACCTAGCTCTTGTTCTTCGTGTCCATCCGTCAGAATTTAATTCCCCGCACTCTGAAGCCAACTCTGTCTCCAAGTAAAACTTGGGGGGTTTGCAGCCTCAAAGGATGAAGGCAAAAATATCCTTATTCTTGATTTTCACTGCCCTCAATTTTACCAGTTTTGCTGAGAAACTCTGAACTAKCTTGGGATTGTTTGCATATGTTAATAAGCTGAGTATAAAAGACCTGTGCAAAAATTAGGGTTATGTACTTTAACACAATAATTAATCTTAAATTAGAAAAGTTCACCTGTCTACAAGCTGTAATCAGGTTGTTCCAGCCTAGTCTTCCAGGGAAAAATGACTATTATAGTTGGCCCTCAAATACTACTTTGACCATTACTGGGATTGAATAGAGGAAAAAAATTCAACCATAAAATTACCATGTAAGGAGAGGGTGCGTTATCATCTGAAACACTGTAGAATGACACTTCTACTGGAAGAGTCATGTGAGTWGGACAAAAGACTCCACTCGCTCCCACTTCCGCGGTGAAACCATCCACAACACCTAGCGGGTCTAAGCGGAAATTCAGGACAGACTCCTGAAAAACGAAAACGCACATGGTTTAAGTTAGGARTAACTCACATAATAGCTAACAAAACTAAACAGCAAATAAGCAGTTTATATAAGAACTCGAAACTTACAGTCTCAAGAAGTTTCTTTTATAGAAACTAAAAGCAATTTTATTGAATTCAATTATAAACTTGCACACTGCAATCAGACAGGAGTTACCCACATCAATGCACTTTAAAAGACAGAAGAATAATAAAAATACCACCACAAGAGTTAAAACGAATAAGCAGTACCTCAAAGTTTCCCAGAAGGCTAAGACTTGTTACTGGCGGAGCACTAGAACTCAGAAATGGTTTCCCGTGGCTGTCTGGATCACTGTCTCTGTTTATACATTGTTGAGGGCTATTTAAAAACAAAACAGAATAAATACAAAGCACGAACATAATCTGCTTTTGGTTTCTGGGCACACACAGCTCTAGAATGCCACAGTCACCTCTCATCCATGCAGCAGACTCTCAGATATAAGGAGATTTTAGCATTCATCTTAGAAGAGCAGTAAAATTAGCCATCCCCAGYGTATGCTGAAGCCACCTAAGCACTTTTTTGCACTGCTGACAACATAAAACAGACAAATTCTTTCTGCTTGGCCAGCTGAGACAACTCTGAAATGACTTCATGTTGGAGAGAAATAAAATAGCCAAATATGGACATTTGTTTTCATTCTTGATTTTTTAGTGACAATTTAAAAAGATAAAAATACCAAAATACCATACCAAAAATAAGAACTATTTTTGTTGCACATGGTCAGATGGTGATGTTATTCTAATAGATGGAAGGAAAAAAAAATGCCTACCATGAAATAAAATCCATCAAACTAATGTGCCCTTTTGGGGGCTGCCCAACCGCAGAATAATTTTAAAATAATTGTTTCAAAATAAGAATTATTTTGAAAAGCACTCAGACGTTCTGTCTCTGTTAACTTGCTTAATTGCTGCATACAACTACGTATACACATTTTATCTCTAAATAAATTCTCAAAGTTTTTTGTAATTAAGATATACCTTCTTGCAGACAAACACTTTAATCGTAGCAGTGATGAGTCCAGATCAAAGCATCCAGACTGTGTTTTTCTTTGAGGAACCTCAAGAAGAAAACAACATATTAATTTGAACATTATCTCTACAGGAGGCACAAGTCTGAATTTGTCAAGAATTTTAATGGTATTACAAAATTATAGAAACAAAGCAGAAGAGTTATTTGTACCTATTCTGAACTTAATGAAGAAAATTCTTACGTTATTTAACATTGGTCCTCTAAATTCTGATTAAGAAAGACTACTTACAAACACCAAGACTGAAATCTGCTCGGTAAACAGTCAGACGTTTCCAGACAAATACAAAACCTGAACAAGAAATACCAATTCTACACCAAAAAATCACTGTCCTGCTCATTTAGGAAACTGTACATCTTTGCAATGATGCAGAAAATTAAATGCAAGCTGTATCGGTTTCTATCAGAAACCTCAAAAACACGACATGCTTTCCAAACCCAATAAATAATAAAACATTCGTGTTGATTACAGAACCTAAGTTATTAGTTYTGCTTTTTTAATTGAGGCTTATCTTTGTTTTAGAAGTCCCAAATAACATACCAAAAACTGTTCTTTCCCCAGGTCTGTCCATCTTGTCAGAGCAGTTTTATATTACCTGATCAGTCAGCTATCTCTCCAATTACTGAAGAATATACCTTACAAACCGTTTATAGAAACAAAAGCTTTCAAATAACAGGCCAGCAAGTATTAATAACTAGCATATCATATGCTAGTTCATGCTCAAAATAATAAACTTCAAAACCCTCTCAAGCTCTAGAACACCGCCAAAGCATTCTTTGATATAGAACTTTCTAATATCAACTTTTGTTACTCGCTATCATCAACAACTAACCTCTCCAGTGTTTTCATTCTTGGAATTATCATTCACCTTAATTCAAATATTAACTCTCAAATTTATACTAGCAAGAGTATTCATTCTATGATACTGAAAGCAAATACAAACAGTTCATCTAAACGCAGCTATTAAGGGAGTAAAATATTCTCTTTCTCATTTAAAAGTGAATTTCACCAGCAGCTTACAGGACTTGAAAGTAGAGGCAATCCAGTTCTGGGATGAAAAGCCTTGGTTGAAGTTCCATCCAAGGATCGAAAATTGTGTTTCCGACATATGCTTGTGTTTTTGAGAGATGGTATTTTCTGTGAGCAAAACAAATTTACTTAATGGGATATTTCAAGGCCCTATCACACCAATACTTGGCTTGCTTTAGCAGAAAAGAGAGACTTCTGAACCAGGTGAATCTGCATCACATGAGCATCTAAGGAAATACTCTGAAGAAGTTTCCTTTTGGCTCTGTGTACAATTACTCACGATTGTTCACTTTTTAATCACCACATACCACGTGCGGACAGTGGTATATTTATAAAGAGCAGTATGCCTAATTACCTCTGGAAACTGTCATTAATAATGCAATTACAGGAAGTAGAATGAGACAATGTGCTCCTAAGTGTTAAATATATAATTAAGAATGCATGTGTACAGATTGCTACAGGGACAAACTTCACTTCAACCTCAAAACAGACAACAGTGCCACGCTATTTTACATAAAGTCAGACAAAAACTTCCTCTTTATACTGATTCTTCGCAGATCCTGAATACAAACGTTATCTAATAGCAGCTAATGCATTTACTACTTTTAGTCATGTATTTACCTGCACCTCTGGGTTCTTTAGCCGTTCACACTTTGCTAAGCAGTCTTCTACAGATTTCTTCTGACAGGTGCTTTGTAAATCAAGGCCTACTGGGTCTTCATTCTCATCATGTGCAGTTTTTGTTTTATCTTGTTTGTTTCTGCTTTTGAAACTATCGTGGTCTTTATTTAAATAATTTTCAATACTAATAAGTTGAGTATTTTGCTCATAAATATTTGCTTTTTTTGAGTCTCTGTCTAAACATTTGAGCTCATTTTTGTGCAAAAAGTCAGATGCCTGCATCACAGTTGCTTTTTTTGTACCTTCAAGTATTCTGCATTTATCTAYCTGTAAATTGTTAAAACTGTCCGTGTTGCTGTTCTCATTAATGACTGATCTTTCTTTAAGTTTATTTGTGCAAAACTGTTCGTCAATGCTGCTAAAATTTGAACATTGTTTAATTCGACTGGTTATTTGGTCTTTCTGTGCATACCCAGAATGTATCATTTCCAATTTATCTGGCAATTCAGGTTTATTTTCTTTAACACAAGATGATGAAGTGTGCATGTTAATAAACAAATGAGAAGTTTTATTTGAAGTCTGATGAAATGCATTTTGGACAGCTTCACCGGGCTTTTCTAAAACCAATTTTCTTCTCGCTTGGAGTTTCTGAGAAGCCTTCAATTCACCATCAAGCCTAGAAGGACTAACAGGGGTATCGAGTGTTTTCAGCCTTGATTTACTGTTATCTTCCATCAAAGAACAATCAGTTTTAGCAAAAGAAACAGAAGACTTTTCCTTGCCTTTCTTCAGCAAATTTTCATCTTCGTATGTACTTCGGAAAATTTTGGAAGAAACTGGGCTAGTTTCCTGTACCTTGAACGGATGCCCAGTGAGATGAGAAGTAGCCGGATCACAATGAATGAGGTGCTGGGCAATCCTTGCTATCACTTCCTGGCGCTCCTGAAGCAGGGATCCTATCAAAGGATTACGCTCTCCCACACACTGTCGGCCACAGTGGCCCACTGGAACATGAGGATCCACCAGCGTGATCTCTGGTATTGCTCTGCTTTTGCCTTCACCATTATCTGGTGCTGCGCTATCTAAGTTGGCCACAGGAACAGAGGARGTTTCCATGCCTTTCCTTGGCAAATTCTCATCTTCGTAAGTACTCCGAAAGGCTTTTGATGTAGCCGAGGTGGTTTCATGCACGTTGAACGGACGTCCATTAATTTGAGAAGTGGCTGGGTCACAGTGAATCAGGTGCTGAGCGATTCTTGCTATGACTTCTTGTCGCTCCTGAAGCAAAGAGCCTATCAGAGGATTGGCTTCTCCTGTGGACTGACGAGAACACTGACTACTTGAAACACGGGAATCAACCAAGGAAAACGATTTAAAAGTTCTCACAGGTGTTTCATGAGCTTGTGTCTTACTGTCTCCCGCAGCATTATAGCACTGAACTTTAGACTGGGATGCTCCAAAGTCAGATCCAAGACCAGGAGGTGGATAAAGCTTTAAATTTCTGATAGACGTGGTAAATTCAGGTGACTTTKTTACATTAAGCAGGCCTTCAGGTGTCATTGTCCAGGTTTGTTTCCCGCACACGCGCTGCGAACCAGACGTACTGCATTGTTCTGCCGCAATGGAATCACCGCGCTGATGTAACTTGTGCTCCTGCATCCTCTTCTCGTAAAAGCTAAGGTTGGTGTGAATACTACATGTCAAAACCGGGTAGTTGGATTGTCTAGGCAAGGACTGGACGCTGACTTTCAAGGCCACGTTGTGAGAAACATTAGGAACAGGAAATACGTGTTCAGTCGGTGTCTGGGAGAATGTCCATTGCAGGTCTACATCTGCAGCGCTTACTCTGAAATGACAGAATGGTGCTTTTGCATAAATGTCTAAAAAAAAAGTCTTTAGCAATCTACTTCATACTACCAAATTCTAAAACAGAACATTAAAGACATCAGCAACTCTCATACTCTGCAGGTGTATGAACTACATATAACCATCAGAACATGCAGCCCAACAACATGCATCTTCTGCAAGTAAACAGGAAAACAGGTGGAAAAAATTATTTTAAGACAAGCTGCAACAACCTGAAGACTGTAAACAATTTTTTCTGCCTCAGACCTACCTGTAGAGAATGTTACGAGGAACAGCACCGTGTGAAACACTYAGCCAAGCGCTTAATTGAGAGAAGAAAACGAACGACCGAACAGCCAGTAAAAGGGTCTTCTCTTCAATAAATCGATCTCCACTTCTAAAATGTATCAGAAGAAACAAGAAGATGTTGGTAAAAATATTCAGAGAATCAAATTTAACAAAATCAAACATTCTTTCACGACAGGATCTGTTTCTGTTCTTGTTTCTTTTTCTACTTGCCTCCTCAGTTTTTACTGACAAATAGCAGTTTTCTTACATCAATCAAAAGGGTAAGGAACCAATTTAAAAACACTAACAAGCTAGTTTAAGAAGTTTGCAACGTTGAGATTCTTGCAATCATCAGCGAATCATAATATCCAACTTACTGTCGAGGAACTGGTTCCAAAATCCATCTTTCTAACAACAGTGCATCTTGTTTGATTGCAGGGTCATTTAAATCGTTCCCCTCAGTGTTAGGGCCTTCATCACTATAGCAACAGTCTGGAAGCAGCATCACTTCTACCATGATTGGAATATTGTTCTTCCACAGCAGCATAACCTCAGATCTGGTTCGCCTAGCTTGACGGCACTGAGGGAAAGAAAACATGTCAACACATGCAATCCATAAAAACTCTAGCTAGATGCAAGTCCATTTTGAAAATATGTTTTGAAGTTTTGGAAAAGGGAAAGGGACAATGTTTTTCCAAAACACAGATAAGATGCAGGAGATACCATATGATAAATAATTAACAAATCCATTAATGGTTACAGGCTGAGCAACTTTTGTGCAGAATAAGAATTAATATAAAAGCATTCCCCAATCATCACATTTTTCTGTTTGAATGGCAGCTTAAATTCCCACAGTACTTAGGATCTTTTCCTCTAGAGACTGGATGCTCCAACCTTACTCCCGAACACTTCACTAGTTAAATTTGATCATATTCCTGATTTTGGATCCAACCTTTCAATTACTGAACTTTTCAAGACTACCTAGAAAAGTATAAAGTGCAGATCAGCCTACACTTAAGAAAAAAATGACTAAGAATGCTAAGTATAGTGCTTGAAATTTTGCATAATAAAGATTCAAATGAGTACTGTATTCAGTCCTACAGAACTTTATATTCAAGGATAGAAGTCTTAACGACCTCTCATTTTAAGGAGATCTATTGTTAGCACTGTACTRAGTTACATACTTGTTCAAACACAGAAATGACAAGGTGATTGTTATTCCCTGCTCAACTGTGGGTTTGCTAGGGAGTTTCTCAGTTGATCTTAATCACGATAGCAGGGAGGTACTCAATGTTACTTATAATAAAACAGATACCATCATCATACCTGAGCCAGTTTGTCGCTGCATTCATGCTTAGATGTTGGTGGCTGACTTGATTGTGCTGGAGGGCAATGAAAACCCTCTGTTCTACCCTTTATAGAATATTCGGGTGTCCGACCTTCAGTAATCAGCAAGGCCAAGGAGACCAGGAACTCCTCAGCTTCGTATTCAAAGTATTCATCTAAAGTATCTGTCATTTCAAAAAGACAAAAAATAATGACCTATGCCATATAACAATGCTGCGTAACAAGTAATTAACTGATGGCTGTCTCTATTTCATTTTAATTTAGAGTTGAAACACTAACTAGGTAAAATGGATGCTCGTATCAGATGACTGTACTCCTACAGGACTCAAATTATTCTGTCATTGTAACATGTATCTTGGCTAATTTCATACAAGTAGACAAAGTTTGAAACACTCTAATGAAAACACCTCATGTAGTATCTACTCAACTACACAATTTCAGTGCTATTAAGAAATAATTGTTTGTTTTGCAAACCACAGCTGAATCAGAGCTGTTGTAAAAAAATCTTGCATGAATTCTAGTGGAGGAAGGCTAATGGCAGCATGACTTGACATCATTAATGTCATGTCACAGAAATAAAGAAAAGCCACAATACATTAGGCATTAAAAATTGAATAGGAAAAAGAATAGTTACATCTACAAGGAAAGTGGGACACAATGTTCTTTAAGATCCGCATTGTGAATTCCTCCTGCTCAGAGCAGAGGTTACTTAAGAGAGCTCCATTTTTAGTTAGCATTACCAGTGTTCACACGGAGAAAAGGTTCACAAGGAACACACAGACTATTCATTGTTCCGAACAATGTTCAGTCCTAACTAGTGACAAGATGTAAAACTCAATGAGTCTCGACAGAAAGGCAGCAGTTGGCCTTGGTCTTCACAGATGGCCCCGACACACTCAGTTCCAGCATGATGCAACTCTCCCCTCGCCCTGTGGCTCTCTACAGTCTCCTGCTCCCTCGTCATGAGGATGTCACACATCATTCACACAGATTCCAGCGTAACCAGATCATATCAGTCTGTGCGTGTCCGCATGTGCTGAAGTATGAAAATGATTTAGTTACTCAAGAGTTAACTCAAGAGAACTCAATAGGTTACTCAAGAGAATATATTTTAGCTTTATAGGAAGGGAAGAGTATAGGAAGGGAACTCTTCCCTTCCTATAAAGCTAAAATATATTCTCCTGTATGAGCACCGAAAGAAAGGAGGTAAATGCAAGCCTAGCAGGGATTCTTTAGGTCTGCGTCCTTATGCTTTAGGGGAACAAAGACACAGGACCTCCTCATAACTGTAGCTTACGTTTGCTATGCTATCCTTCACAATACAAGTACCAATAGGCACAGAATTGATTTCTATTCACAGCTATTTTGATTACCATGCATAAAATACCTTTCCACTCAGAAAAAAAATWAAAGTCAGATTTGTTTGGTCTTCATTCCATAGAACCATACCATATAACAAACATGGTAAGAGACTGACTTGAGAGATCTATATATTAAAAAAAGGAAAAAAAATGAACTTGAGAGATCTATGCATTAAAAGAAAAAAAAAAAAAAGATGTATTCAACAAAAAATCCAATTAAGTGTGCAATTACCTGCTTATGCAAGTTGCAAGCTGTAGTGCATAACACTAGCACTTGCACGTACACACATGCCCAGCCCAGGCTTGCGCTTCCTGGCCCCCAGGGCTGCTAGACTATTTGGAGAGCTGCACGAGGCTAAGCAGCAGAGTGCCCCTACTGCCAGAAAGCTAATTTTGCCACACAGGACCTACATCTTTCTGCATTTTTCCCCCCACATTCTTAGGCGAGGGAACACAAGGGACACACGTTTCCTCCGGGCAAGCGACAGAGATGTGACCAGGAGTCGGGGTGCTCCCATGGAGCCACCTCCTGTGGACCCGCTGCTGCTGGCGGCAGGAAGGGGTCAAACCCAATCCTCCTGCCTACCCCACCGCGGCACCCATTGTACATACATGGCCCACGGGACACTTCTGAATGACACCATATGTCCCACGCACTCCAAGGTCTCTGACCACTGCCGGTGAGGAGAGGTGCCGGGAGYAGCGGGAAGAGCCTTTCCGGGCCGGTCGCCCCTTCCCAGGGCCCTTCCCACTCGAGCAGGACGGACCTGCCCGTCTATGGCGCTGCCCACGGAGCAGCGAGCCGCGCGTGCAGGCAGCTGACGCCCACGCACCTCATGTGGCCACGGGCGGCCCTCGCACAGCAGGAAAGCCGGAGCAGGCCGCGCCACGGATAAGCTACCCCGGAGGGCCCCATATGGCACGTGAACTATATGTTAAATCATCTGGCACGAGTTGAAATGGCCACTCATCTGAGAGATGACAGAAAATTACCAATGAAGCGTGCCTGAAAGATTAAAGGAACAGTAAATAGCAATGAGGACACGGCACTTGCGTAGCCATACAGCTACGCAATATGTGTAGCAGTATGAGTCACCTACAGAATCAGGCACCTGCAAAAAAACATTTATTTTTTCCAGCTAAAAGGCTGGCCAACAATAGGAAAGACATATCAGTAGAACAGGGAAATAAGAGGTGGAAAAACTCAAAAAATGATTTAGATACTATAACTGACAAAAAAATAATCTGCAGTAYTATCCTGCTGCCAATGCAAGCACCTTGCTCATCCCTGAGCGTCCAAAGGTCAGGACTGCTTTTATTAAAGTAAATCACACTGGCAAAGATCACTATGGAAATACTTCTACTCTGATGTAGGACTTTAAAAGATCTAGGAAGTGTTTGGCACGAGTTGCAAGAATTTAAACACGGATTGCCTCAAGATTGATTATCAGACTACACAGAAAGGGAAAGGAGACTCTCACCTTTAGAAGGGGTCTGAGAAATTCTGTTTAGTTAAAATATGAGGAAAAAAAGAAAAAAAACACTCCAGCTTTCAAGAAAAAGGCAAAGAGCTTTGATCAAGATCTGCAAGTGCTTACGCAAACAGATCATATCTAAGTCAAACATTTTCTTACTGTAACAGAAAAGTGCAGATTAAGAGGCGATACCTGAGAATTTACACTAGAAAAAAACAAATGGCAAGTAACAGTAAAACAGACATGACCTTTACCTAACATCACTTACCACACAAAGCTCTCCTTTATACAAGGAATCTATATTTGATCAGAAGCTTTTGGTCTTGACATAAAATAATACATATATTCTGTTAACTGGGCAGCAATGCACAGCTAACCAATGGATATTTAATTGGACCTACCATAAGTCTAATTAAAAGAAGAGAGAAAAGGAAAATCAGAGAGAGAGAGAGAGAGAGAGAGAGAGAGAGAGAGAGAGAGAGAAGACTCTTCTTTCACATTAAAATTATTACAAAATTTATACTGCATACTTGAAACATTTGTCTTTTTCACAAGTATTCTAAACCACAAACTGATCTTACGAACTGTATAGAGTTTAAAAATCTTCAAAAGCAACATCCACCTAATGAGTGAGGAAGATTAAAAAAAAAAAAGGAAGCAAGGAAGCCATCATTACTGAATATACAGAATACATAAGCGATGGCATTTTTTATTAACAGTTAAAACTTTGTTTACAAATTAATTACAAATTTAAATAAGTTTTAACTGTTAATAAAAAATGCCATCGCTTATGTATTCTGTATATTCAGATATATATTCAGGTATATGTCTATCTTTCTGTACAGGCTATCCCCTATGCTCTATTTTTATTATAAATCTTAAGTTTAGCATTAAGGGAACTACTATTTCAAAAGTAAAAGAACTCCCATCTTAAAGATGGAAAAGACGACCCAAACAGYTGGAAAGACGTATTTGTATTGGCTGAGTTAAAAATATGATGTCATTTCAAAAATAAAGATGCATCCTAGTTTGAGAAACACCAAGTATGGAACTAGAAAATACTACTGCTTTCATAACAGCATTACAGAGACAGGGACRACAACTTAAAATTATGTCAACAATGCAACAAGTGAGACATTTAATTTTTTATTGTTATTATTTTTATTTATTAAATTATTTAATATTTTTTTGTGTAAAGTTCCTGTGCCACACTGTTCTTTTTCTAGTCCCACTTTATGTGTATAATATGTAGCTACCTTTAATAGTTTTTATAGAGGAAAATACTGTAAGTATTGAGAAGCCTGGCAATTGTTCCTAAGACACAATAGACAAAATAGGCAGATGATGCAAGCTGATGTAATTGAGGACAAGGGTGGGAAGACATTTATAGACACAGCAAAGTCAGTGTTCAGTTAGAAAGAAAAGTCTGTTAGCCTGTGTGTGCGCTGTAATAATTTGCTTTTGTGTATCAATTGGCCATGTTTGAGGCACCCATCATATATTGTGCATAAAATAATACTATAAACTGACTAAAATATTATTACTCTTTTGCAATTAAGCATTCAAGTATATAAAAATATATATATAATCCCTGCAATAGGATATATAGGAACTAATTACTACCCTTTACCAATAAACTGAAAGTAACGACTACCGATCAACTGGTACAAGAGATGGAGGCAGATATTAACATATTCTAAAATGAAAAAAWTATGATTCAGTTTCATTACCTTACTATTCCAAAAAGTGAGTTAAAGGTAGTTCTAGCTGTAAAAATTACAGCATGGATTGAGGAAACTACTGTAAGGAAACAAAGCACAACATAAACATTTGACTAACAGCATCTCTCTTGGAATTAGAAGCATCTATAGATGCTCCAGTTCACTAATCCCATGTTATGCTTCACTTCAAAGAAGGTTGCCCTTGTACCTCGAATTCCTGATTTTCTGAATGAGCAGTCATGTTGTGCCAGCAATATTCCAAACCTGTAATTGTATCTGTGGTCACATAGTTCAAAGGCCTCATAGTATGAAGAACTAAAGTAAAACCTAAGCTATCAAGAGCCAAAATCATGAGCTAACCTCCTCCACTCAAGAAACTACCTATTAGTTAAGTTTACTACTAATGAAGCAAATGCAACACGCTTTTCACCATTGCTTGGGAGCAATCACCATAACCTAAGAGTAATTCCTGCATGGATTTTGCTCACACTGACCCYTGTCTTGGATTGCCAGACATCCGCAAGCTTGGGAAGCATAAYAACCATTATGAAAACATCAACTGAAGTCCATTACCTCACCCTGCTCTTACCAACTCCTTGTACTTTAG